GATAATTTTAAGATAAATTTCAGGTGACAAACCACAAAAAATGATGTGGGGAAAATTTGCCCACAAAAATAATTTGTAAGGATGTCGTGCTTAGCACGGGATAAATACTAGTAAAGAATTAAAGACACAATGAAGGTTAAAATTGAAGAGATCCAGAAGCTCTACTAATTAAGGAACTAGATATGCAATAATTAGGGAGATGATGGATTGAGGGATTTAGGATAATAACTCGATATTCAGATAGTGTCCATATTCAAATGATATTCGTGTTCGAATCCATATGATATCCATATTCAAATGATACATGTGAGGTTTATATATGTTGGTCAATGTTCTTTCAAGTATCCTACTAAATTTGGATGTCAATATTTAACAATCGGATTAGGCGATCTTAATTAGAATGTTATTTTTAGATGTGGGGAGGGGATTCCTCCTTATATATATATCTATATACGGAGATGTGTGTGTGTGTGTGTCGGCGCACTCTATCCGCATCACTGCAGTTGTTATCTTGGGCTATTGTTGCCAATTCCCTTATTTGCGTAACCTTGAAAATTCCCCCTGTTAACTTCCCTCCCTTCTTCAAATCAGAATCACTTGCTTGTTACTTGTTAGTGAAGAGAATTTGTGGGCTCATCTTCAGCTTTTTTCCTCGGATTGATAGGGCCAGCCATAGTCCCTGCTGGGTCGACCTAAGGGCGCACCCAGGCTTCGAAACGCTTGGGTGGGAATATGGACGTGGGTATTGTCGTTTCCACACTCCTCCCTTCTTTCTCGACAGTATCCGACTCTCCCACCTGGGAAAAGCCAGCTCATTAAAGTTAAAGGACTGATCGATCGAGCTGCCTCCATCGATCTTTTGCTAATTCATTAATTGCTGGTCTAGCCCAGTCTAGCCTAGTCTCTAGTCGGAGTAGGGGGTGGGTCCAGTTTTGGCACACGTACGTTAAAATTAAGGAACAAATGCTACGACCTCTTCTCTTTCACACCCTGAGAACAAATTAATTAAATTCGGTTGCGATGAGGATTCTCTACTTTACTATTCAGTACCCCCCCACTGCATCTCCGGCCCCCATGACAACGAAACCCACACCATCTTTTGTCCGTTCCTTTTTAATTTCCCGCTCCTACATATCGCGTGCCCACCACGCACGACCTTTTCTTTGGTGATCCACCGTACACTAAAGAGGACCCCTCCCTTTTCGATCGATCTGCTTGTTAATTAATATTATTACAAATTAATTGATATAGTATCGAATAGAAAATTTGCATTTTTTCCACCTCACAGTCACACACATCCATATCTGATCCTTCTTTTACGTGAGATGACAGCCTTAATGGAAAACGTTAGCTAGGTTACAGGTAAGGAACCTTATATATAAGCAACAAATTAAGAGCGGAGAGTGGAGAGTAGATAACAAACAACAACAGAAAGGGACTGCGCGCAGGTTCTATAATCAGTTGAATTAATTCTAGCTAGGAAAGGATTGGCCGGGCCATGAAATTGATCGAAAAGAAGATGCATGCCCACCTTAATTAGAACATTGAGCTGAATTGGGTTTCTCATTAATAGTATGATATGCGCTGATCGATTATAATGCAATTGTTAATCCCTCCCATCCTCAAATTAATGGTTCAAAATGCAGATGTTTATTTCTAATTGCCACTTCTTATAATATTCAACTTGTTTTTTTCACTTTTAATATATTGAGTTTTGAAAAACTCTTAATTTTTAAACGAAAATCATTTTTTAAAATAATTTTAATTATTTTCTTTTACTTTTTTTTTAAGTTAGTTTTTTGAAAAAAGTTTATTTCCTTAAAAGTACCCCCCCTAATTTCTCACCTACCCATGTGAAAATTGCGCTAGCTTAAGGGGGAAAAAAAATCTTAAAGTAGTTGAAATAATCCCTAAAGTTAAGGAGATATCTGGTAACCGTCCAAAGTTAAGCGGGTTTTCTAAATGTAGCCTCTTGTCTTCTTTTTAAAAATTTGAAAGTCATTAATGAGTTTAAGGCGGTCGGGAACATTTTTTTCTCAATAAATGCGGAACATTGTTAACTTAGATATGGACCTGTAAAGGAGACTTTGGTGTGGAGCTCAAGTTTCTGAGATTAGGATCATTCTTCTGAGTTCTAGGAAAGAAGTTCAGGGACAATCACCTGCATGTTTTGTTGTTTAGTGTACTTTCATCATGTATTATAAACTGAAATAATACATGATTGCTCTATTATTGAGCAAAATTCATAACTAGCTGTAAATAGTTGGACAAGCTTAGTTGCTATGTAATTTTTCTTATTAAACTAGTGAAAGAACCAATGCACACATGTTGACCCGTACAGATGGGAACATCTTGGATGCATCTGTGCATCATATAGTTTCAGAAGTTGTTGCCTATTGAAGTTGATTTTGACCTTCATGTTGATGAAAACATGATTTTATCCCTTGAGATATTAAATTCCATAGTGCAAATCAATGTTTAAGCTTTTCATTTCGAATTACCTCTCTGATTTGCTGCAGCAAAAGCTATGCACTTTATTTTGGTCCCTTCATGCGCAGTTTATTCTGTACAAACCAGTAGAATCACTGTAGTCCTTGAAAACATATGGTTGCACACTTGGATTGGCTCAGTCCAAATTCAACACCTGACACTTCAGTTTTTATTATCTATTTTTCGTGTATCTAGTACTTATGTGATTCTTTTCATTTATTACTAGTTAATCACTTCTCTTTGAGCGATGGAAACAGTGGGTGATTCTAGATCAAGTTCAAAAGAGAAGAGATCATTTGAGGTAATTTCAAATCTAGAATTCTCAATCCTAAATTGGTTGATTTTGTAAAGAAATGTAAAATTGGTTGATTTTGGTGAATAAATATTAACTTGAATTCTCATTCAGTATAAGAATGAGCGCAGTTACTGTTTTGTCCTTTTCAAATTTTTTCAAAAGTTGTCCTTTTCAAATTTATAAAAGCGCCCCAAGACTGTTCCCAAGGATCAATTTAGAGCTTTACTAAAGATTTGGCATTCTCAAAATGGAAGGGTAAGAATTTAATTTTCTATTAATACCATTGTTTTTGTTTCTTTATTTCCTTGCTCTTTTGCCTTCTGAAACAAACAGACACAAACACGTACACATTTTGCCTAAATTTTGCTTTCCTTTCTCTTGTTTTTCTTCTCTTGATCTGTACTATATTATCCTATGGCCTCTCGATATCTTACATTAATATATCACGGTTTCACTTGAATTAAAGCATGAAATTCATGTACTATATTGTAGAATACCTCTAATAATTCGATTATTTCCAAAAATTTATCAGTTTGCAGCTTAATTTTCTATCTAGCTGCAGATAACATTCAGCTTCTCCATGGTTACACTAGCACTCATGAACCACGATGTGTTTGCTTGCCTTCATTGTCATAGAAACGAAATTTCATTTATCTGTTTATTTTGTGATTAAGAACTAGTATTAGTATTTGTTTGACCGATGTAATCATTTAGCGATGGCAGATCCTGAAGAACATACTATGACAAATAAGAAAATAGCAAAGGAGTAGTAAGAAACTCGAATTTGTTAGTTCAGTTGAGCTAATTATCCCAGGTACGAGGAAAGTATTTCTTCGATTGAAACAATCGGAACGAAATCATGTTTAAGTGACTTAAAAAAGACCCCCTTCGCTCATTCCCTGTTGGGATTATGGATAAGGGTGACGAATATGGCTGTGATTAGATGCTCTTGATAACTTTAGCCTTTTTTGTTAAAATGGTTGGATTTGGTTGTGGCAACAAACAAGCATGATGTACATTGTTCTCTTAACTTCCTTTTCAAACATCTTTTTTCCCCAATTTTATTATCATCATTGCAAAAATTATGCTGATTCATGGAAATTTACACAGGTACAGAAATGATGAAAGCCAAGATTGAGATTGATACTGACAGGTTCCTAGTGAGTATTTGACATTGAGGAACAAGTTTTTGGAAACACATAGAGAATATAGTCTTTGACCGAGAAGTTTCATGTTTTGTAATCAAATGTTGAAGTACATTGTTTGAATGTTAGTTCGGTACGATATTTTCTGAGTTGAAATGTTGGTAGTGTGGATTTAATACTTTGTAGTTTTTATACTATACTGATGTATGTTGGCACTTATCATTATGGTTGATTATGCTCAATATAATCACTTTTATATTGTGTATTAAAATTTGACTTGGCCATGTTCTTAAAAAGATTGTCCAGGTAATTGAATACTATAATTATTTTGACGTAGGAAACCAAGAACAGCTTCGATTGAGCAGTTGCAATAGCTCGATTAAAACCGTTGCGATAGCTCGATCAAAACCGCTGCGATAGCTCGATCCAAACTGTTGCGATAGCTCAATCCAAACTGTTGCGTTAGGTCTTTTAAAACTGTTGCAATAGCTCCAACTGTCCCTGTAGCTTTATTAAAACCATACTTATAGCCTACTAAAACCGTTGCGTTAGGTCTTTTAAAACTGTTGCAATAGCTCCAACTGTTATCGTAGCTCTATCAAAACCATAGTTTTAGCCTACTAAAACCGTGGCGTTAGGTCTTTTAAAACTGTTGTAATATCTAAAAAAACCGTTGCAGTAGCTTGAAAACCATCGCAATAGCTCAATCAAAACCGCTGCAATAGCTTAAAAACCGTCGCAATAACTCAATCAAAACCGTTGCAATGGCTTAAAAACCACTTACCTTTTAAAACCGTTGCGTTAGATGCAGGGGCAACGGTTCAAAAAACCGTCGCAATAGAGTTCAAAACCGTTACGGTAGAGCTAGGGCAACGGCAGCATATGAGGCGGTTTGAGAACCGTCGTACTTGCTCAAGGGCGACGGTTCCATGGCTAGCGCAACGGTTTTGAACCGTTGCGTTAGAGCAAATATGTGGTAGTGTCCCTAGGCAATATGAGTGGTTAAAAAGTTTGGTGGACACACTATTTGGTGTGTTGGGGTTTTAGAATATGTAGATCAAGTTGAACGGAACGGATCATCCACAATGTAGCTCAATCAAGTGATCATCAATGGATAAGAAACTTAGTGGACGTCCACTTAAGTTGACAGAAGTTTTGCTATATATATATATATATATATATATATATATACATGTGAATTTTTTCTCACATTTAAATGAGTGGAGGACTTGACACCTCACTACCAAGCACAACTTTTTGTGTTTGGTACCAAGCATACCCATATTTCTTATATATATATATATAGGGAGATGTTCAAATAAAAACCTCACTATCCTAAAAACTAAAAACCAATCCTCTCCATTGGATCTAGATTCATCCAACGGCTTAGATTATAAGACTATTACAGGTGCATAAGGGTAAAATTGGAATAATTCACTACATTAATGGTGGCTGGAAACATTGGAAACTGGAGATAATGATTAAAACCAAAAATACAACACATCCTCTCTCTCCAAAATCACAGCAACTCTCTCTCTGTCTTCAACATCTCCCTATCCACGGTCTTCTTCAACCTTCGTCTTCAACCTTCATCTTCAACCACTGTCTTCAACCTTTGTCGTCGTTAAATTATTTTGACGCTTTAATGGTAAGTTTATGAAATTTGTTTGATTTTTCGTCTAAAAGTTTTAGTTTTAACCTTAAAGATCGTAGCTTTTTGTTGTAAAAGGTGAAATATTTCACCTTTTAGTCTGAAAAGTTTTTTGTTTTTTGAAGAAACCAGTTGAAAAACGAAGACACGCATGAGTGAATCTAGATTCACTGCAGTGAATCTCGATTCACAGCAGTGAATCCAGATTCAGTATGTGAGGTGTTTGTTTTTTACCATAAAAATCGTAATTTTTTGCTGTAAAATGTGAAATCTTTTCATGGTTTAAAATTTTATAGCTTGTTTTTTACCATAAGTTTCTTATTCTTTTTGTTTAAAATTTTATAGCTTGTTTTTTACCATAAGTTTCTTATTCTTCAATATAATCCAGATTCACTGGAGTGAATCCAGATTCACTGGAGTGAATCCAGATTCACTCCAGCGAAAGCTTGGATGGTTAGGATGGTTTTTAATGAATTGTTGAAGAAATAAATGCATGTGCTGTAATTTCGAAGAAATAAACGCATGAGTGAATCTAGATTCACTGCAGTGAATCCAGATTCAGTTATGTGAGGTGTTTATTTTTTACCATAAAAATCGTAACTTTTTCCTGTAAAATGTGAAATCTTATCATGGTTTAAAATTTTATAGCTTGTTTTTTACCATAAATTTTTTATTCTTTTTATTTTTTATTTTTGCAGATTTGCTATTGTTTGATAACGAGTTTTAGTCCAATGAATCTGGATTTAATTCAGTGAATCTGGATTCACTCCAATGAATCGAGCTTTAATATAATCCAGATTCAATGGAGATTCACTCCAGCGAAAGCTTGGATGGTTAGGATGATTTTTAATGAATTGTTGATGTGTTCTTCATGCGCGAAAGCTTGGATGGTTAGGATGATTTTTAATGAATTGTTGATGTGTTCTTCATGCGAAGATGGAAGATCAAAGCTTGATAGAAGATGGAAGTGAGTTACAGAGAGTATTAAAGGACATGTTGTATTAAAGGACGTGCTGTAAAAGTGAGTTAGAGGGAGAAATGGGGAAGTGAAAGGACGTAGCACGTTGATAGTAAGAGAGAGTATTAAAGGACGTGTTGTATTTTTGGTTTTAATCATTATCTCCAGTTTCCAATGTTGCCAGCCACCATTAATGTAGTGAATTGTTCCAATTTTGCCCTTTTCACATTGTTTTTTACAGGTCATGTGTATTAAATTCGTCTATATTTACAATTCTGCCATCGAAATGTAGGCCATTGGATTAGATAGATTGATTTATGTCTATGAGATGACAATTTCTTTATGCTTGAATAAACTTATCTTGATTATGTTTAGGGGCTGTTTGGTTCGTTTCCTTGATATAGAGAAATGCAATTCCATGTAAAGAAACACAAGTTTTGAGTTTTCCAAACTTTTTCAAGAAATAGATTGTTTTGCTTTGGTTCGCACATAAAAAATGGTGGGAAACCAATGTATTTATTTTTCTTGTGTTTGGTTCACATAGAAAAAAAAGGAAAACTTTTGTAAACAAAGCAGAGAAGGAAAAAAATCTGACGTGTCAGAGTTTTTATCAATTTCACTTGGTTGCGGAAGGAAATCGGAGAGGGGAAAAAATCTTAGTTGGCGGCGATTTCAGCAGAGTTTTCCCTCTTCCATTCGAGCGAACCAAAGCGGCACAAAGAAATGGACGGAAACAAAAAAACTGACGTGGAGGGCTAAAAATCTGACGTGGAGGGGTTTTCTAAGTTTTCCACCCCTTATAATAGCGAACCAAACAGCCCCTTAATTTCATGACATTCTATAGATAACATTTTTGTTCTGTGTAATTTTCCTATGAGGAGTGCTAGCAGCACTCGCGTAAGATAAGTGTCGCCAGCATTCGCCCCAAAAATAAGAGGCGCCAGTTTAGGTTGAGGGTTAAGTTATGGTTATAAATTAATCCCCCCTCGCCCTCTGATCAGGGCAAAAGTGCCGGAGGCACTCGCCTTGCGGGAGGGCCGCTAGCACTCCACCTCTCCAATAGAGTTCCATCTCTATTTATAGGACATTTTCCAATATCACTCCACCCCAAAAATCCATACGCTGTACAGATTTCTTCCCAAAATCTGTAACAACTCCACCACCCAATATTCTCTCAACAAATATCAATTTTTTTGAAAAAACTCAACAAATATCACTTGTTGGGAAAGTGATTGATTTGGTCAAACTTGAGCAATACAAAATAGCAAAGGGAAGCACGACTCAGGCGTTCGGGTGGGCCACAGATAAATAGGCAATAAAGCTTCATTTATCAAACTTTTATGTTGCTTGTCTGTGCTCCTTTTAAGGCTAAATGTCATTTAAATGTCATGTTGTTGTCTTATTTTTACGCTTAAATAGCTTAAGTTGTATAAAGTAGCGGTTTAATACCTCACGTCCAAATGTAGCATGTTGGTACCTTCGATCTATTAGTTGGACTTTAGAATATTCTAATAAATCTCCTCACGTGATTAGCACAAGTCATTTTTACTAATTCTATTGACCCCATTCAATGTTTTGTTTACTATTTCACTTGCCACCTTCAATTTATTACTATCAATCATATTTTGACTTAGCTCCTTTTCTTTCCCAATTTCTCTCTTTCTTCTTCGATCTCCAATTTAACGAAGAAGTCGAAATTAAAAGTGAGAGTGCTGAAGTTGGCTGAGAATGAAGAGGGAGGGAGACTTGAGAAGATTTGAGGTTTTTTCAAAGAGAAAGATGAGAAATTGAATACATGTAGAAGAAATATGTCCCTCATTGTCGTGATTTTTTGGGTTTTTTTGGGATTAGTTTGAGTTTGATTTATGTTAGTTGAAATCATGTGGTTATTAATTTGATTTCAATGGAGATGTTTGTCATGTGCTGTATGATGCAAATGCAATTGAGGTATAATGAATGTAGTATGAGTTATTTGTGTCCCTATTTCTTCACTATTGCATTGAATAACAATATCACCAAATATGTGCATGATAGTTTTAAATGGATGGGTATTTTGGTCTTAATAGGGGTTTTAACACCATTTACAGTATCCAACTTAAAGTATTCATATGCTATTTTTTACAACTTAATTAGGATATTTACGTATATAGATAGTGAAACAGTAGAGTTTTAAGGCAATTTAGTCCTACTTTTATTTATTTATTTATTTTAATTTAATATGTTTCTTGTTTGTTGTTTGATTGATGGTGAGAGTTTGAGAATATCGGCATTGGTGGGCCAAAATGAGAGTGCGGTTGGGACAAGTAGATGCAAGCAAACAATCCACAACTAAACAAACACTTTTCAATTATATTAGCATTATTGCACATGCAACTGATATTAACACATAATTATTTTAACTTTATGTAAAAATAGCTACTTTAATACCTTGAAGTATCATAGATATTTCTAATAGTTTTTATGATATGTGTTCATCTAATATGTGATATTTCTTGTCCATCTGCTCAGACTCATCCATTCAGCCCCTGTTCGTCATCTCTAGAGTATCTGTTTTCCCATAGTTTGCTGGGTCATTTGGAAAGCTCGCAATCATTGCATCTTCTCTAATTTAACCACCAATCCTAAGCTAATTC